ACGAAAGCCCAATACAAAAATGTGTATGACTGACTTTTAATTAACATCGTCCTACAATGCCGCGATACCGACATCGAGACATCGTGACGAATTAAGTAAATATCGGATAAACTGTCTGGACAAGAAGGCATTCTCGTGAAGAGAGTGATACTGTGACCTAGTTGTAGTTGTAGTAGTTGTGCTTGACGGGTGCCACCTGCACGAGTAATGAAATTGTTAGTGTCTTAAATAAAGTAGCTTGAACTAATTGACTCGTTGTTCTTGCACCTGTGATTAACAGGTTTCTGCCATCCGAGCGATGACGCTGTTATCGGAAGTAGAGTAATTGCGCTTAAGTATATCAAGTATATATAAGTTATAATTGCTGTACGTGTATTGCAGACGAGTGTGTTTCCTGTAAATAGCGGTGTTTTCTGCTCGTGTCGCTGTTCAATGTAAAAAATGATTAGTAGAATATATTATGTAAGTGTATATCACCTCTCCATCGAGGGATATCCAATATGTCGCGTAATGTCCAATATACGGCGGTCTCATCAAAGGATGCATTGTTGCACGCATATTGAATAAAGTTCTTCCTCGCTTATTTGTGATCGATTTTATTCGTACCGTTGCGTTTCTTTTCGGCTGCATTTTGTATATCAATATAAGATATTACATGAGGAAAGCAAATGAAATATATCAAATTTCGTCGAAACAATAATAATGATACGATGCCCTGTTAATTTTATTTCATTTTTTAAAGTATTCTTATTTCGTTATTTGTTTTATTACACATTCCATTTTACGTTTCAACTTATCCTTTTTGCCACTAAAATATTCAAAGATAAGGTATTAAAATTAAAATATTGATTTTTGTGTTAAAAAATTATTTGAGCTCCAAGAATCTAGGAATTTTTCCCCTAGAATATTATATTCCGAGAGTGTCTTCAGAATTAACTCGTATCTTGAACTTTAACGTGTCACGGTCCAAAAACTTGAAGTGCAACGCGTTCATAGCAAGAGCTCTATCGTGTATAATTGGTTCGTTATATTATCACGAGGTATTTCGGGTACGCGCACGTGCTCCATGTAAACTCCGCATACTAAAACGGCTGCGAATTCGCTGAGATTAGAATCATTACAATACACGAGGGCGATACAACAGCGCTCGATATAGGACAGAATCTTTATGATCGTCGTAAAGCTCGTTCTCTTTCTCATTGCCGCCCGCTTCCTGGCGAGTACAAACACGCCGTCGTTTATTTCGATACGAAGACATCGATGTCTGTGGTACAAATTGAAGATGTTTCTTCACACGTCTTTAACCAGTTAATACGGTGGCGATCGCCCAATAACATTTTCCAGCGAGTATCCTCGAGAACTGTTATAACCGTTTGCACCGTTATGAACTGTCCTGAACAATATTTCCACTTGCCAGCTCGATATTTCGATGAAATTAAAGAAAGGTAGGAAGTCTCTACTTCTATTCCGATAAAGAACTTTGCTTTAATTATATTAAAATTAGGCAAAATTAGTTAGTTTTTACGTCGCTGATATAATATTAATTACATGGTAAATTGGATCCCGATAAAATGAGTTAAAGTTCTTATACATGTAATATAGTTTATAAAGTGATGAACTAAACATGTCAGACACAAGGCTCGAAAATGAACAATTTTTGAGCTATATGTATCAAACGTTTATATGTTTATAATTTTTATCTTTTGTTCATTACGTTATAAACTGCGTTATGTGTAAAAACTAACTCATTTCATTGAGACCCAATTCGCCATACAATTAGCAGATCATTCCTATTTATATAGAAAATAGGTTCTGATGAAAATAAGTTAGTTTTCACATGTAATGCAGCTTATAATGTAAAAAAAAAAAATTGCCATAATGTGTGTTTTTATCTTAAAATTCTATAACTTTTCCGTGATTTCCAGACAAAATTTTACGATTTTCCCTGACTTTCTATTGAATTATTATACATATTTTAAAATTTGTTTGTATTCCCATCCGATTTGAAAATCATTAAATATTTTATTGTTACAGTAATTTAACATAATAATGTAATTATTAATGTTGCTGACCCTGCATTTCATTATTAAGTTAGTACTTTTTTGTCTTTTTCTTTTGTGTACAAACATGATTTATTTTCTCTTTCTCTGTTTGCTGCTGAATTTATAATATAAGGAAGATAAATCAGTAAATCCTGCTTATTTTTTTCCAGAAAATTTTGCTAAACCCATAACTTCCCTAATCATTTTCAAATTTTCTGACTTTTCCCTGACTTATGGCAACCCTGCTAAAAAAAGGTATCAGACATAAAAGTCTCAATAATAGATTGTATCAAAAGTAAAAAAGTTGTTTCACTCACAGAGCATCTTTGACACACCACGACTCAAGAACCATCTATTATTGAATTTTATTCTTTTGTTCATCACATTATAAGCTGTATTTGAAAACTAATTCATTTTTCTATGTGCATTCGCTAACTAAAATTATTATATAAATTATAATACTTGTTCCACCAAATTGAGAGTCTCAACGTTCTCTAAGAAGGGTGAAACACATAAAGGAGCAGCTCTTTGCGAGAGTCGAAAATTACGGGGCGAAAACACGCGTTTTCTTAGTAACAAGCAATTGCCTCGTTCAAGCCGGCTTTTGTGTTACCCGCGATCGGAACGTACAGTGCGTACTCAACGACGCAAGCGGTTACGACGACGGAAGCGTTTACTTATGAGGGACGACGGTGACGATGCGTTATCATCCGTACGGTCCACATACAATGCCGAGAGGGAGACGCGGATCCTTTGAGGTCGGCGTTACGGGTTCCACGAAACACGTCACGTCGGGATATACGTATCGAGACTGCGAATACTAATGTCCCTCTAATGCATCGCGCGGCTTGAATTCGTAATAGACGCCAGGCGTCGCGTCGCGTCGCGTCGCGTCGCGTCGCCTCGGCGAGATGAAGCACCCGCGCAGAAATTTCCACGGGATTCTAGATGTGCAATGTGGGCGTGTGTTGTGTATGCGCTTTCGTCTCAGCACCGCGATTTATCGCGAATATGTGTGCACATCCCACGGCGTACACCGCGAGATCTGCATTCTCGCGCGGTAACAGCGTCGTGCTCTTTGTTTCCGAGATATGCGCATGGATTATTATCTCGACTCTTCGCTGCTTCCACAGAATATCTAAAGAGACATCTAAAGCAGACACGCGAGAAAAAAAAAAATGAACGCTTCCCTTCCGTTCGTCCACCTTGGAATTGCGCGCGCAAGATATAAACGGGCGCGTTTGGTGAACGATATCTCTTGCCGAAAATTGGAACGTCGCCCTTGTATCAACATTTAATCGTGCGCCTTATGTTATCTCACGGACTCCGAAGTTTGAACGTTGTGTAACTTGGCACTACGGAGAGAGTTTCGAGTTGGATATATTTCTGAAATAACAGATCCAGCCGCGATGTTCGCGTTTGGAATTTCTCGTGTTTCATCACGCTTTATGTCTCTCATTATTATCGCGATGTTTTCTCTGCGTTCAAAGGCGGACGACGCGGAAAGAAAAAGACTCCACCCCTCGCCGGTGAAATCGAGACGGAGAATCAACCACGTCGACTGTGAAAGCTCTCGTGTGTAGATATCAAATGTGGCCCGTGGAAAAAAAACACGCGAATTCGACAGTGACGGACTGGCGTCGTCGCGCGTTTACAGCCGGCGTGAATGGGACTCTGAAAGGAACGAGTTCGAAACAAAGGCCCGCCTTCAATTCCGCAAAGAGCTCGAGAGGTAAGGAGGTCTAAACGAAGTTATAAATTTCGACTTTTTCTTCGGCGTTCTCGGCTCGTATAAACTGTGGTCACAATGCTTTTACGAGTAGACGGTTTTCCAGGTCAATCGTCGTCGCTTTTTCGCCGCACGTACGTGTCGTTTGCATTAACCGGAATTTGCGGATGATTGAAGACTCACGGAGAGCTCGATGAATTTTAGCGAGGGGATTTCACGGGCTCAACGTATCATAAGTATTTTTCAGCTCTCGATACACCTGTTTAATCTACTAACTATTCTTTTTTAAACACTCGGTGGTTTTTCTATATATTTAGATTTTTAGCGATTTACAACGACGTCCGAATTTTTATTTTTTTCATCGAGAAATATAAAAGATAATATCGCGGAAAAATGTCGATCAACTATAATACGCTTACGCGTTTTTAAAAAAACAAATATGCCGCTGTTCGGAATGCAAATGTAGGGGTATTTGCATCGCGAAATATGAAGATAGCATTGCTTTTTTCTAAATGCAAATCTGTTTACATCTGCATCGTAAAATGCTAAAATAATATTCCTTATACAGGTTGGAACCGTGTTTGAATTTATATTTGAAGACGAAATTATTAATTTTGTTACTGGGTGAGGATTAATATGCATATATATTATATTATCTGACCCGATCTGCGATGTAAATCATTTTAGTTTAAAACATCGGAAAATAGCGATAACCATAGCTCTAATATGATTCTATAAAATAAAATATACGTTAATATTATATGATGGCTCTTTGTAGTATTTAACAATTCATTTTAACAAAATGCAGCCGTGTTTCAACGTAAATCACTTTAATGAATACGGGCAAAATGACGATGATGAGACCGCGCGATCCCAACATGATGCGACATCATGACGCACCGTGCATATCGTAATTCATTACATTTGTGCTGTCTATTAAACTGACCAACATTATTTTCATTATTCTCAACTTCTAATAATTGAGCGTCAAACGACATTATCGATTAACGCGCTAATTGCCGCAGAATTCATTTTATGGCAAAATGATTCCGTAAATAAATTGATTGAATTAATGTAATATCTCTGATCAAAGAATTAATTTCAGCATTTATAATTCGACCGCCAGAGCGTTTCAGAAATTCACGTGATAACCGTGGCGGTCGAATGTAAACGCTAATATGTAGTAACTTTGTACGGATCAAACTGAGGACGGATGATTGTGCACTGACCTCTAGGAAATCCTTCACGGTGTTGTCGACGACCATAAGTGGCCGTGCTATCAAATGAACGACGCCGTTGCGCACAGGAATGTTCGCCTTCACTATTTCTGTCAGCACCACTCCGTCTGTGTGAGTCTGATCGCCCACCAGCGTGTCCGATTGAACGTAGACTGAAAATTGGACTATCAATTAGTCATCGAAATACAATATGCATAGATCTATCACTGGCGCTGTCCAACACAGACAAGCCTCTTTTAGCTGAATATGAATGCTTTATTACACACAAAGCCTTCTTTCAATAAGCGTAATAATGCGTAATATGTAATAGTACACAATACCGAGCAATCTCTAATAATAGTATTTTTGATTGGATTGTATGTTATCGCTCATCTATGAATCGAATCAATCGCCCGCAATGAATTATCTGAATGATTGAAACGTAGGGAACGCGAACGATCACCGTGAGTTCATCACCTTTATTTTGCGACTTTGAAAAACTGATGACGACTTTCAGATTGTCGGAGAATACGAGGGTTGGATACTGCATATTGTTTGGCGTCGGTGCGGTGAAGAGGACCTCGTTGGGTATTACGTGCCCGTCAATCACCAGCTTATCAATCAATCGCGGCCTCGGCACCGGCTGTAACAGAAAGGTGAAGATCACGAAAACTACATTAAAATGGGAAGAATATAAATTACAATTGAAGAATATAAATGCAATCATTGTCGGTCATAACTCGAAAAGGAAAACAACATCGTTACTCTAATCCTAATTATATAGTATTCGCTTTGTGAAAATTTGTTTATAATTAATGTCGTCGTTGACATACAAAGTGCTTTTGTGCAAAGGGAATTTTGGATTGAAGCTTAAAAATGTAGATTACACGAAACAAAACATTTTACATGGTCAATGAAAAATTAAATTATATAATCTTACTCCTCGCGGATTTGACTTTCAAAATAAAAAATCGCTCAATTATGTTAACTTTAGGTATATTGAAAAAAAAATTACTAAATCTCTTAATGCATATTTTTTAATAGTATTTTTAAACAGTATTAAGTAAACATTTAATTATAGTAAATAAATATTTATGTAAAATAAAAGATAACAGTTAAAGTATAATAGTTTTTGTATTAAATAAATACATGTTTATATTTAATAAATATTTACTTAAAATTATTCAAATAAATTTTTATTAAAATTTACTTTTCTTTTAGTATAAAAGATACATTAATTTAAAATATATTAGACTCGCGCGAATATAGCAGAGTTAAGAAATTTTCGGAGCAAAATACCAATTAAAATTAATTAATTGCATAATTTCCTCACGTCGTACATTTTTACTGCTCCCTAAAAAAAGCATTTAATTGTTAGAGAACGTAATTTGTAATTTCCACGATGTGAAATAATAAACTTATATCCCTCCAGAAGAGGAGAGTAGAAGTTTTTATTTCGCGGACTGCTGACACCCTCACGTCGCCTCTTCTTGTTGTCCGGATATACTCGTCCTTTCATCTGACGTCTCAGCTTCTCGCACAAAAGCGCGGCCGACCGCGTTGTCACGGCAACTCGATTTCTGTGCGGAAGGACCGACTTCGTGAGGAAAGAACGAAAGGTGACGAAGGCGCACAGGAGTCTCGATACCAGCCGTGGAGTTCTCGGTTAGACGACGATCTCGTTGAGAGAAGAACTTTTCGAGATCGAGTCGTACACCGTCGTTACACACTCTTTCGCACCCTCTTCTCGGCGGCCTCGCTTTTCTCTCTCTCTCTCTCTCTCTCTCTCTCTCTCTCTCTCTCTCTCTCTCTCTTTGCTTTCCCACCAGTTCTTTTTTTCCCTCTTTTTTTTCTTTCCTTCCTTGCTTTTTTTTTCCAGATCCGGAGCCCGACGCGTCGTATGTACAGGCGCGAAACTTTCGGTAATTTCTGACGGGATGGCTCGTTTAACTCCGGCTCGTTTTTACGCTCCAAGTTGGATTACGTGAGCGCGAACTATTGTGTGTAGTACGCGAGCTTGCCGTTGAAAATTGGAGAAAAAGCGGAATTCCGCGCCGAAGTGCTGCGATGTGAGCATAATGAAACACCAGAGGAGTCACGAGTCGGTGGGATGCGCACGGATTCGCACAGCGAAATTCATAATTTTTAATTGTCCTTATTTCCGCCAAGAATTAATGGACGTTTCTTGAAACTACATAAAAAAAAAAGGGAGAATGAAATATTTTAACGCATAAAATTTGTACTAAGCGCCTTTAGAAGAGCGCTGTTAAAAAGCTTTTCTAGCACTTTGACAATAATAAACGTTTCACGATCAAAATTAAATAATGAAAACTTTAGATAATAATTAACAACAATTAAAAAATAAAATGTCTAAATTCCTTTACACACAGGAAAAAAGTTTAGTTTCCAATTAATTAGAGTTTTGATAAATTTGACCAATATATATATATATATATATATATATATATATAATAATTCGATACGAATAAATACGTTTCCAATAAAAATCCATTCAAAAGAAATCTATCCGCACCGCGACGTGACGATCGCGTAGCCGAATTCGTTAATCGCCGGTCAGCTCGCGTCGAGCATCACACCGGTATAGTGTGCGCTCGTGTTCCGATCACTTTGCGATTTTTGCGGCTTTCCCGAGTGAATTTCGCGTACAGAGACGAGAGTTAAAGTGGTGACTCTGGCGACGAGCAATCATGTCGGTATATCAATCTGCTCGACCGCGATCAATGCGACCCTCGGTATTCGTAACGAGTTGCCATCGGATCGCGTTGCCATCGGCTCGATCGTTTTTCCAGGCCGTGGGAACGATCCAATCTTTTACTCGCGTTTCGGGATACCCACTCGTCGTATGAATGCCATCTACGAGTGCCATTCGCGAGGAGAATCGAGAATCACCAGGAATATCGCGAAGAGATATTGAAGAATCGTCATAACGAATTGATTGGAACCGAAGATATATAGAATAAACGGCGCCATCCATATCAAACGGTCAACATAAATGAAAGAGAAGAACGTGAAGACATTATATCATTGTAGTAGAAAGAAATAAAATTAGCCGTTTTCACCTCCCTTTTTTATTCATTTTTATCGATTAGTTTAACCCACGGATGGCACAATCCATTCTATATGTCTTCGATTGGGACAAGTGATCTCGCTTCTCCGTCATGTTGCACTGCTCTTTCCCAGCGTCGCTCTGAAGTAGCTTTCGGATTCGCGATGGAATATTCTTGGAATATTCGCATAGCGTTCGTTGAAGACAGACTATTTGCTCACGTTTGTTTGTGGTCTGGACTCGACTCGATGGTCCAGTTTCCACCGAAGCATCAATCCACAATGCGGCGTAGAACCAAAATTTAAGTCGATGGAAATGCATTTGGTTGCGCTCATCTCACTACTCCAGCTTCAATCAACAAAGTCAATCGATAAAGTCACTTCCAATATCGCAGCGTGAAACCGATTGACTTCGGTGGAAATTAAACTATAATGATGCATTACGATGCCGTGTCTGATGATTATCTACCGACAGCGCGTCACATCGCGGAAAGTCACGTCAATCTAACATTCAGTGAATTGTGAAACTGGACCTTAGTCGCGCGAGCCAATTGTGCTGGAAAATCGGACGAGTGAACCGGCCACGTTCCTTGAGGACTCTTCGCAGAAAGAAGCCGTATATGAGTACGTTATACGTTATCGCGAGTGTCGGTATAGTAAACGATCCATGACTGACACTAATGTGGAATAATCTTTCCTCGCCGTTACTGTTACGATCTTTCGATGGGTGGATTATTTCAGATTAATCAACGGGAATCGCGTTTGATCGCGACCAGACGCAATCTTCGAAAGAAAATAATCGTTCGCGAGTGTGTTGGGTAAAAGTGAAAAGTGCATCATGGATTATGGAGCAGCCGATAATATTGTATATATCAAGAAATTGGAATCGAGAGACACAGAAACAATCGTTCTTCGATCTATCGGTAGTAATGAGTTCTAAGTTTTAGTTTTTCAAGATTTTTCGTCGTATAATGCAAAATTGCCTCTAAAGTTCATTCTACAATTGTTGGCGATGGTGAATCCTAAGCTTTAATTTCTGCGTCGATATTCTCAAGATTTTTTCCATTATACAACGCAAAATTGTGTAATATAAAGCTTATTCTACAATTGCGTAAATATAATTGTAAATGGTTGTAATTGTAAGAATTAACCGATCACAAGCGAGGAGAATATTCGATTATGAAATGGTCAATTTCTTATATAGTTTAAAGCTTAAATTTTAAGGTTTAATCTTTAAAATTTCATTGTAAACCCCGCTTTACGCGATTGTATTATAGAACGAATTTAGGTCTGTGATCTGATTCACGCTTACAACGTTAATAAGCATCAATTACCTTGTTTCAATAAACAACAATGACGTTATTCTAAGAGAATTATAAGCGTGAATCGGATCGCAACCTAAGAATGATGTGAATAAATAGAAAAGATAATAAATAAATGAAGATAAAAAAGAAGAATAATAAATAAGTAGATAAAAGAAAACGGATACACTTTCAACTGCTTAGAACTGACAGGAAAAATTTCGACGTGACAGGAATTTTCGAAATTCCTGTTCGGTAGACAACCTAAATGTAACATAACATCGGTCATTATTATATAATTTTGCATCCGATAATATAAATGTAATATAATACACAGAGTGTTACATGATAGTTGCATCATTAAACGTGAATTTATACGATTGATGTTATTTTGAACTTATAGTTGACGTCGATTGGTGTTATCTGTACGTAAAAATCCGAGACAGCTCGTTGTTCTTGTAATTTCTACGAAATACGTGAAATAATTGCGTGCGCATTAATTGCGGCTTTATCATTTTACACCAATTTTTACACAGCTCGCCTGTAAAGAACACCGCGCGCTCAGCGTTTCTTCGACGTTAAAATAGATTTGCACGCGATGTCGGAATGTCGCGTTTGTAATCCGACGTTTGAAACGTCTAAATGCCACGCATACGTATCCGTACGGAATAATTTACATCCGCTGGTAAAACGTCATCCCGTGTAACGCCGCTGCAACACGGTGTTCCGTGCGCGGAACATTTCGAACGAGCGCGTAAATTTTGCGGTATCTAGGACCGTGCTATCGCCATGTCACGCAATAATCATTTCTTTTCAACATATTGCGAACCTGGACAATTCTTTTTAATCCGAATGGTTCCCTCGTGTTTAAGAATTTAAAAGAATAGCGCATTAATATTACATTAAATGAAGTCTGAATTTAACAAATCCTTTAAATAATGTCTATTCCCTCTAATGTAGATTAACTTTAATCTCGGTTTAACTTACTTTTTATCTTGTTGTAAGAACAAAAGAAAATAAAGAGTAAGTTAAGCCGAGAGTAAAGTTTAATTTACATTAGTATATCGAAAAAAAGAATCTAGTAATTATTAACAAAGGTTGAATAAAATAATTTCAGTCCAATATTCGGTTCGTGTAACTAAAAATAATTTTACAATGAAAAAATGTTTGATTGAAAATGAACGAACCATTCTAATATCAATCAAAATTCTAGTCGAGATAACCAGACGTCCAATTATGATGACCGGAATTTTGATGGACATGATCAGAATCTATTTTCAATCAAAAATTTTTCTCAGCATTTCTTTTGATATTTAGTGAGTATATATTATCAAACATAATAATATAACCAATCATTTGGTAACAATTATTAAATGTCTGAAAAGTTAAATTATTTTTTATTACATTTTAACCAAACATTTGATTAAAATTATTTTACTTAACATTTCATAATTATTATCAGATTCTTTTTTCAGTGCACAAAGACGGACATTAAATCCTTTCTTTACCATAAAAAGAATTTACCATAAAAAGCTTTATCTAATTTTGAACAAAATGCCACAAATGCGGTTATTTTCGAATTTTTTAAGGAAAAATTGGTCGCACGATGAATGATATTAAAATCATCCCCTCGGATGATCAAGTCGCGAAGGTCGCTAAAGCCGCTTACCTTGAAACCCTCGTCAACGGGAATGAAGAAAGTAAAACGACCTTCAGCCTTGTAGATAGATTCCTTCTTCTCGATGACGATCTGCTGTCGGAAGGTACTAAAAAGAAAAAGAAGGGTTAATTACGAAGGTAGTGTACGAGACGCGGCGACGTTAATAAGATAAACGAGAAAAGTTCGTGCATTTATTTACGTTTAAATGCACCAAGTTTTTATATTTATATTTAAATTAGGAGGACTGTGTTTTAATTGATGGGTCGACGTAATAATACTTTAAAATTGTCCATGGAACCGTTCGAGAGGCTGAAGACAATCAGTATAAGATAATTAAATTGGTATCACGCTATGCATATTTTACGATATATTGATTTTTTTTCAATAGAGAAAACGGCTTTGCAACTGTTGTTAAATTCTTTGATATGATTGTTTTAATTAAATCTAGCAAGAAACTAGGGAAAGATTTAAAATCATATTAAAGATTTTGATAATACAGTTGCAAACCTGTTTTATCTGCTGAACGCACCTGTCGATGTATAGAATCATATTAATTTATAAAATATAGTTTGAACAACGTGATAACCAAACGCGCGTCTGTGTAGAATAAAAAGCATTTTTTTTAAAGCGAAGAAGAATTCTTGAAATTCTCGGAAATTGAAAGATCTTTAGATAGCAATAACTATATCTAAAGATCTAAAAATACAAGGATATCGTTTAAAAAGTAATATTTTAAGAACGCTATATACGCGTAAGAGCAGATTATCGCTCCAAGATTCGAGGGCGTGAAAAGCTCTCTTCTCTTCTTCTTCCCAGCGCAATAAATGTCCTCGTTACTCTTTTATATCTGCAGCCAGACATTCCTACTACCGAAAACGATCGCCGTGTAAATAGCGAGTCTCTCGAACTCCGGCACTGATTTACTGAACAGTCTACTTACCGTACGCGATGGTCGCCCAAATTGAGATTCTCACTCTGGTTCAGAAATTGGAAAGCGTTTGGGTTGTAGACCGGTGATTCCATCGAGTTGGATCGCACAGGCTCCAGCACTTCATTTATGATGTGCAAGACCTGAAGTCAAAAAAAGATTGTCGATTGTTATTGAAGAATTTTTATCAGTATGGAATTAATATTAAAATAACTTATATCAAACATTAGGTAGATAAATAATGATAAAAGAATTCGTATTGAAAGAAATAAATCGAGAAAGGTTTCGAGGAGATATCATAATACTGTATTTAACAAAGACTTTCTAGGAAAATTATGTAATTGGCAAGTGCAAGGATGTTAAATCAAGCAACCCCAGGATTAAGGTTAAGAGTCCCTAATTTTGACTTGCAAGGACCAAGCTAATCTCGCCAAGTTCGAACAGATCCATGAATCCGGCTGCGGCGGAGAAGATGAAGTGAGACAAACCGACTCAAGCTCGTGACGCAAACTTGGCGGGAACGGGGAACACGAACAGAGGCACGAAGATAAACCTCCAAGTCTGAAGTGGAGGAAGCGGAAGCGAAATAAACGAGGAGCTAGAGAGAGAGAGAGAGAGAGAGAGAGAGTAAGATAGAGAGACTAGGAAGTGCACGTCGCAAGTATTTATCCTGTGGCGACGAACACTGGCTATATCGGATCTGTCAGAAACAACTGACGCTGCGCTTTAATGGTAAACATGGAGGAGAGAAAAACATATTTATTCACGTGTGTCTAGATAATTCACTATGAAATTCTCTTCGACAAAAGACAGGTTTCTTTTCAAGAATAATATTTCGAAATAACGTTTCTTCAGTTTTACTTGACACGATAAATTCGATTGCATCCGGCTAGAAACTTTTATTGGAAAGATCACGTATGCAGTCTATACATTGTAGATTTTAAACCCTTTGGAGTTGACGTGGATTTATTATTGGACTCAATTAAATCTTTTTCTCAAAAACTTAATCAGGATCATGAAACGGCGATAATCCACAAATCTTTTGACACCTCTGCAGAAAATATTCGTGAAAGTCAAAAGTATTGTCAAACAATTAAATTTTCTTCATGTTACACGTGCAAAAATTATTTTTATTGAAATATAATATTCATCTTTTTTTGTACACACACAAATTATACCACTTTGGTTCATTAAAAAAAATTAATCAAATGACTTAATTAGTTATTTTAGTTTAATTTACTAGAACTATTTTTAATTTTATTAAGAAACTCTAGAACTCCTCAGAATTCAGAACTGTAAGAAAGTTATTTTTTTATTCAAAGTAAGGTGTCAACTTTACAAAGATTTTTAACTAACATAAATTAAATAGAGATTTTACAGACTCAGCATCAGTAACTGTTACAGATTTTGGCGTCAGCTTTGAAGGTTAAGTATAACAAATATATTATGCTGTCTCTCAAAGAAAGGAGGAGAATGTAATAGGTTTCTTTTACAAATTCTTCTCTCTCTCTCTCTCTCTCTCTCTCTCTCTCTCTCTCTATAATGTACGTGCTATTTCACGAAAAAGTCACTGGAAAGTGATAAGATGTAGAAACTGTTACCCCCTTTGCGCGTCCCCATCGGGAACAAGCACCATCATTTACCATCCTGAAAAGGAAAAAGTTCACGACTAAAACGTTGCCGCTGCTATTTATTCGCTCTCACCAGTGATCGTCCTGACTCCCTTATCTCGCGAGGGATATCCTGTTCCTATAGCTGTTTGCTTGGCTGTTTGGCTTCCTCTGTTAGGAAAGAAAAGAGGAACAGAAGAGGAATAAGGGCCTTGAGAAAACATAAGCATCGAAGTTGCAATGCCCTGAGAGATTTCGACTGTATGTACAATATTGAGATATAGTTTTCCTGTGCGCTCTGTATTGATAAAAACGTCCCCTCTTACTAGAATTGTATTTAATATCCATAAGTTTTATTTTTTAGCTGTTATGCTTTGTCATAAAATATATATCTTAAATAATATAATTAAATTCAAGATACCAAGAGAAAGGAAGAGGGAAGAAGAGAGGGAAGCGAAGAAACTAATTGAAACGCTGAGAAACTATATTAATAAGCGACGATGATAATGAAACTAAGTTAACATAATAATTCACCAGAAACTGTTTTCTCTGTACTACTTCTGTATCCACTGTTGAATTATTACAATGGCCGTTCGATATGTAGTATCACGGGCAAATCATATCTTGGAATTATAAAGTACCTTCTATATAAAATTTCATATTTAAAATGTTTGAAGATTTAGAAATACGCAGATTTGATAGGAGTGTTCATGGAGTGGATAATTAAATATCCGCACGATCCATCGTGGCCGCGCCGACAGTTTTAATACGAAACATCCATCACAATGTCTGTAAAGATGAAGGGGGAGGGAAAAAAAAGGAAGAGTCGTACGGAAAGTTGGCGCCTATGAGCTCTCTGAGGGGAGAGAGAGCAGCGCGGGTAACGTGGAAGATCGTATGATAAGAGGAGCAAAAGGAAGACGACGAAGGAGCGTGTCCCATTTATCCAGCGTAGTCGCAGAAAAAGACAACGACGGGGGAGGTGGAGTATGGCGGTTGGCTAGAAATGAATCGTTTTACTCACCGAGAATGAGAGAGGAAAGCGAAGTTTGTGTGTTCCTTACGGGATAAGACGGGCCGAGCTAGGACGCCCATTTATCTTGCTCGCGCGGTCGCGAGTCGTCGGGGGAGAAGAGGGAGGTAGAGATCGAACGTTTGCCAGGACGAATCCTTAATTTTTCGCACGGTTACCTACTCCTACGCATCCGATTTTTTCGCGTATAACAGCTGAACGTCAGGAAGACATTAGAAGTCGAGAGTCGCGGAGTACATTATAAGCTCCTGTAAACTTTGACTGAAAGGAAATCATTACAGATCACGTTTACACTGTGACACTTAATCGGATTTAATAACATCTGTAGAAACTGGCCAGCCATTCCATTCCTCAGAGGGACAGGTATGATTGGCCAGTTTCATAACTACGGAAGTTATTGAATCCGATTAAGGGTGTTCATGTAAACTTACTCCACAGTCTAACAAAAAGTATGGAAGTGAATTATATTTGAATTTAACATCACATTAGGTGCAAGTATAATTTTTATCCTGTTGATGTTGATGTAAATATCAATATAAAGTAATTTTACATCAATTTGAGATTATGTATGGAAAGGTTTTGTTAAAGAGTATCTAAAAATCTAACTACAGATCTGAAAATAATATTGTTGGGTCATCAAAATAATTATACGCAGGACACTTAAACTAAATGCTAGTATATTAAAATATTTTTAAGTATATTATTGAGATTCCTAAATAATAACTACTTCGATAGCCCAACGAAATCATTTTTACACTTGTATCTAAATTTTTAGAATCATTCTTTCTATATGATATTAAATCAACACCCATGGTGTTAAATCCACACTACGTTAATAGGAGTTACGTAAACGTCCCGCATGATGTTACGTTCACATCTATATTTTTTAGAGTGTAAAGTTTCTGCAATCGCAACAGGATACTGTATCGATCTTCTAAGTTCGATCATATTAATTTCGCCCGTGCTTCTTTGTTACTGTCTAATTTCGCGCGAGTGGGAAGTACGCCGACCCAACGGTCGGCCTACCGCGGAGTATCGTAAAGTTAACGCTAATTAAACTTTACCGATAGTTGCGCCGAGCCACTCGCGACCTCTCTCCGAGCGAGCTCCTTCTTAATCAGCTCGGCTACCCATATTCGCGGTTGAGGATGGTACACGCGGGTACGAGTTATCATCTCGATACACAGCAGCCTGTGCTCGTTTATTTCTCTTGGGCTCCCCACCGCGAGATAATCACGATCTGTGCACATGTTAACGATGAATTATCGTATGCAACTATCTTTTACGATAAACTCGCGTAAATATGCTTTTCGAATCGGGGATTAAAATCGATTTAATTTCACAAAAATTATTTTGGGATTTATTAGAATGTCATCGATGCGTGCGTTGTCATACTTTAATTATCTTTCTATTACAGTGTTTTGCTGTGCGCGGTTATTTTTAATCGAGCAGGAACAAAATTATCCGGGTCGTTACACCTAAAGTATATCTGGCGCGTGTCACATTTTTCGGGAAAAGCCTTTTAATGAAGTACTTAACATTTTGCGTACATTTAGGAAATAATGGACCACGTTTCCAGTTAAAACCTTCCTGCTTTTCAATTAGTGCGAGAGGTAAGAGGGGAACGAGAAGAACACTGGAGCGTTTAAGTTTGCAGTTGACGTACGTTAATAATTTTATACGCGCGGCGAGTCGCGGCTATTAAGTAATCAAATGCATTTTTTCCACATGAATATTCAAGCTAAGAAGAGAGAGAGAGAGAGAGAGAGAGAGAGAGAGAGAGAGAGAGAGAGAGAGAGAGAGAGAGAG